CTCCGTAACTCAATAATCTCCCTATCGTATTTCCATCCGAGTCTGAGTTTATATGTAACAATATCATAATAAAATGTATGGGACATGCCAGCAATCTTGTAACATAATATTTAAGTAAATAAAAATAGATTTTTGCATGTACTTTACTTTTATATCATATTGTATTATTCTGATTCTTATTGTTAAATATTTTTCACCATTTATTGTTGTTATATACTTATTGTACTAATATTGTATACTAGCTATATCTTACAAATTTGCCTTCATGAATTAGTATTTTCAAGTATTTTGATTTAATTTAGGGTATAGTGTACGAGTATCTGTGTATTAAATGTTAACAATCTGTATTCAGCATTTTAAGTATAATTAAGTAACAAATATCCAAATATTAAGCTTATATAAATAAAAATCAATTGGATAAATGTAAGCGCATTACTTCAGAATTGCTGCATCAATTTGTCTAGTTATGTCGTGTATGTAATTGTAATAAGAAAGATCGTATGAAAGATAAGTGGAAAATTGGGGTTAAAAATCTTTATATAATAAAGAATGAATGTGTGAGAGGGAAAGTTTGGTCTTATTTTTTTCATTAGTGTTAGATAAACATAAACTTTGAGTACTTCATAATTTAATTCACTTATCAAAACCATGAGATACAGCTAGTAGTAAAACAAATAAATGGTATTTATACGTGTGTTGACGAAGTAAGAATAGATAATATACGAGTACCATTCATTTTCACCCCCGTGATCTCATAAGACTCGACAAATTTTCTGGTTCGCAGATTGATAGGTGTGTACGAGTATATAGAATAATAATATAGGCGTAAGCACTGTTGATTGTGAATTGAATAATCTAATTCAATGCAGTAATATAACACACACACAATACACATAAAATGATAATTTTATGTGTATTGTTGAAATCGACTAAGAATTATACAATATTTTGATGTTGGAAAAATCTCAATAAGACCATAGACATTGCAAAATTATTGATGGCATGTGTGTTGTCGCCATTTCTGAAGATAAAAATATCCTTCTGATATAATATTAGGTAATATTACTTATCCTATCTGCTCTCTACAAGTTTGTGGCGTAGTCTGGTTAAATAATTTTGAAGTTTAGTTCTACAAAGCCTTAGTGTAGTTTTGCATAGTCTAAGTTAATAGTTCTGCTATTATCCGATAGTTTTGGTCATTGGGAAAACTTTACAAATGCTCACTAGGCCGCTCATTACATAAATTTCATTTCAACTTCCCAAAAACGATGTCAACTCGGTCAGCTGAATACTTGACAACGGTTTAGGGGTCGTTAGATCGAATCTCAGTCAAAACGTATAAGTTAGTGAGTTAATTGGCGAGGAAGATATTTATTTACAAATTAACTTTATTAACGATGTTAACATTAGTGCTTAATCATAAAATTATTGTTTCCTCATTATCACTTGATGTTGTTTGAAGTTTTATGGTAATCTGTTTATTTTGAAACAACGATTAGTAAGCCAGAAATAGCTATACTAGATATTAATGTAGATATTATTTAAAATTATGATCATCATCATATCAGCTGTCACCCGTCCACTATTGAACATAGATCTCCTCTAAAGACAGTCATAAGAAACGGAATCGTTTCTTATGGTAGTTTACCATTAAGGGGATTTTTTCAATAATTACCACGCGTGGCAGATGGATTGGCAACCGAGTTGGCATTTAGTGATTTTTTAAGAAAGGGTACTGCCCGTACCGGCTTATGTTCGGAAGTGAACACTTAAAGGCTGATATGATGATGATGATATTTGATTTGAATGATGATTTTCATTAGAAAATAATGATAAGTATGAAATGAGTTTCATGGCAATACTTTCATTGTTATTTATGAAAGCGATTTTTTTCCTTTGTTAAGACTATATGTCCAGACATCACATTTCGGCCTTGAAGAGTTTACTTTATATAGAAATATGAATAAAACTCTTGATTTATTATTAGTTGTAAATATTTCATAGTAAAACACAGTATTTGAGTACTATATTGATGAAATAAACAATTACTTTATCACAGTTGAAAGAGAAAGATATTATAATAAACAAATGAAAATATAAATTTAATATTGAATGAAATTCAACAACAGACTTATAGAAAGTTATCAACCTTCAAGTACTTATTTATTTAGCCAGTAGACGTGAGCGTACAGTAACCGTGGGGTATTAAGTAAATCTGTTTTAGTAGCCGACCCTAAACCACTAGATGCAAGTGTCCCACTTCAATTACGAGTGTATAGAATGGGATTACTTTCTCTGTTGTTGTTTCTAATCCTTTTATTTATTTATTTAAACTTTATTGATTAATAAATTGTGGTAGAAAGGCAGACTTAATGCTCGATATCAACCAATCTTTAAGATGTGCAATAAGACTCGATGGCGAAATAGCATTATATAAAATATGTTATGCAACTGCTATATATTTATATGAAATGAAAATGAAAAATATACTAATACATTTAGATTGTATTAAGACAGCGCTGAGCTAAGTTATTTTACTACACTTATGTTTTTTTCTTAGGATATTTTTCATGGCAGATGCTGTTCTCGGCGTAATATGTTTTTTATCCAAATTACAAAAAGATTTTGCTTATAGTTATAAGACTGGCCGCCTGCCTGATGCCAAGCCTCTTTGGAAATAATAATAATTAAATTAATAACCATTATATATTTAATTTAATAGTAATTCGATTCATATTGAAAAAAAATCAACTAATTTCATAAATTTCAATTCAAAAGTTTTTAATTTATTTAGATACATGAAACAATAAAAAACGACTTAAATTCTTTTTATATAAATGTGAATATTTATAATATAATAATTTTTATAATAATATAATTTTTATGCCTTTTTAATGCGCAAAAACTGATTACATATACTAAATAATTAATTATGAATATGTTTAAACACTGTTTATGCAAGTATATAGAACGTGAATAAAAAAAGCTAATTTGACAATTAGGACAACAAAAAGTTGACCTGTTTTTAAGACTTGATGCAAAATTTATATAATTCACTATTTTATCGTATTGTTAGTAGAAAATTTTATGTGTACTTGAATATTACATATATTTTCATGTCGGAGTATAATACTTCGTTAAAAAAATTGTAACGTGTAAATTATTTAGCGTATGCTCAGTTCGAATAAAATCTGAATAGGAATAATAAATTATCTAAGTCGTAAAGATGTATCAATAAAAAAATGGTGTTTATATGGCAATATAAGAATACTATAGAAGACTTATCTGTTCAGTAATAATAATAAAAACATTATGTCTGCAGGCATAAGTATAAAGAACAAGTAGGGGATATAATGGCACATTAAAGATATGAACGTTTTGTCGTTAAACGACACTCTGTAGCTTTATGGATAATATTACATTGGCTTTCTACCTAGCACATAAACTCTATTGAAAACTTGCCAGTAGAGTCTATAATAAAGATAACGATCTATCAATTTAAGCTAAAATGCCATATTAAGAACCATCTAAAACGTAAAAATGATTCAGTTTAAAATGATCGAAACGTAATTTAATTTTTATCACTAATATACATAAAATATCTTATGATATCACTTGATATCATAAGTTTACGTTTACGTCCATATATATACATACACATACATAGCTAATAACGCCTGACGCTTGCCGCTTATGCAGGAGCGAATTGACCGACCTTTTCATATGCTAGCTACTTTCCATGAAAGTTGTCGGAGAAGCCTTACAAAATTTTTAAAATGCTTGTCATACCTGTAAAAGTGTACTAAAAGTTGTTTCTATATATATAAAAATTATAGAACACAAGGAATCTCATCATCATTCATCATCATTTCAGCTGTTAATCGTCCACTGCTGAACATAAGCTTTCCCCATAAGGGGAGTTTTGCCAGTAGTTAGTTTGGTAGTAGAGATGTTTTAAGAGGGACGCTGCTGTCCATCCCTTTACTATCAAGTTCTTTTAGGCGCTTTTTACAACACCCATAGGAAAGGAATGGAATCCTATACCATTGATAAATTCAATACCGTACTCTATATTCTAGTTTTAAATGAATTAATTATTTAAATGTCAAATATCAAAATTGTTGTAGATGCTCATTGATTGACGTAGTAGCATTCAGTACGTTTATGGATATTTAAGCTATTATTTATATTTATGGCTAACATAGCAGTAACGTATATCTATGTTAAGCTCATATCACATATCTTTCAGACAGTCAAGATATAAGATATTATAACTTCTTTTCTTCTATTACTTTCGTAGTATTACTTATACTGTGACTTTACTTGCAACGTGAAAATTCAAGATTTTCTGCAATTATTATTGATTTTTTTAATTAAGTTTGTGACGTCTCATTATGATTGTTTCATTATCAATATTACGGTTATATTATCCATATATTGTCCATTCATAAAATATATTCATCTGTCATAAGTCTGTTAAAAGTGATTTGTAACACTTATAACATATTTGTAACTTGTAGTATAAATAATATATTGCTGACGTACTGACAGCTTTTATAGCCATATTGTTTTATACATACATATATTGTTTTAAATTTTATTTTCTGCTCTTCTAATGAGCGTCTATGGAATAACATAATAATTATTCTTTTACTATTCTAGAATTGACTGCTTCTAAAATAAAATATTATGACAAGACAGATAGAGAAATTGTGAATTTCCAATTAGTGAAAGGAAGGTTACTTTAGAAACTCATTAACATAATTTAGTAGAGCAATAAGTATCTCGAGGCGACGTAGACGTGATCTTGTCTAAACTCTACTTTTAATTGTTATATTTTAAAAATAATAATGCTGATAAAAATTCGTGGATATTCGTTTTGTAAGATCATGTGATTTATTGAGGTTAATTAGGCAGATATAAAATACTTTGTTGATATTAAAATAATTAAGTAAAGATTTTATTGAAAATTATGTGGACGTAAACTTTAATAAAACTACAATTGTTTATGAGAATTTATTTACTAGACAGTTACTCGTATTCACATTCATTACGTACAAAAAATAAAGGGGTGTAAATATATCTCTGAAAATTGTAACAAGGTAACATAATGTATCGAGCTAAACGAGGTCAGTCAGGTAGGGGTGATGGTTGGGAAGGAAGGGAGGCTACGGGGGCGCCCGACGGCGGCGCGTACGGCGACCACACAGCAGTCGCTGGAATGCGTGCCGGAACTCTGGACTAAACACCGTGTAGATGACGGGATTCAGTGCAGAGTTGAAGTAGCCCAGCCACAGCGACAGCGACGTCAGTACCGGACTCACTTCGCAGTCGCACGTCGGCACCAGGATGGCCAGCACAAAAAACGGAAGCCAGCACGCTACAAACGCACCGGTAATTATTGCCAATGTTTTTGCCGCTTTCCTTTCTCTTTTAGAGTCAGCGGCCTCTTTCGGCTTGCGCCGTACCAGTGTGGGATAATAAGCGGCCGCCACTGCACCGTAACCAGTAGTTGGGGGGTCGGCCTCTAGACCATTGGCGCAAGATTGCTTTTCAGGACTTGTGTTATTCGATGACACGTTTGTGAAACCCGTTGTTGTCGTTTCAGATATCGTGGGCAGGGGTCGACCGATAACGGCGACTACGGCTGCCGCGATCCCACCGCTACCACCGGCTGCGACCAGCGCTCCACCAGAGGGCACGGGCGGCGGGCCCACTCCACCGCGAGCCGTGGCTCCCCTGCGCCGGCGTATTCTCTTTCTGGCAGTTTGATATATTCGCCAGTAAAGTATTAATATTACTAATACTGGTACGTAAAACGATGAAGCTGTTGCAAATATTTGGTATCCGACATCTTGACTCACGACACAGCGCAAATCTTCGGAGACACGTCGATTCCAATCGGGGTCTTTCCACCCCAGCAGTGGGGCGATGCACACTAAGAAACTTACGATCCATACACAAGCAATCATGTAACCCACTCGTCGCGCCGTTCGCGCATGTATATAGTCAATATTAGTCACAGCCCGGTATCTGAAACAATAAACTTATTTTCAGTCAATTTAAAAAAAAAGGAAGTTCTCAATTCGGTTGTATTTTTTTATATGTTTGTTACGTCATAATTTCGTCAGTTGTAAACCGATTTGGATTTTTTTATTTCAAAAGTTGTACTTATAAATGGTTCCATAGAAATTTTATCAAAATCAGTTAAGTAGTTTAGTTTTTAAATAAAAATTATTGGGTTTGTCATAATTGAAATTGATTTTTTTTGCGGAACACAATCTTATAATGTAAACTTCTGGCTAAATGACAGAGAGACCTTTTCTTAAGCTTTGATTTGTAACTCTTAAAGAAATTGACTTCAATAGAAAATGAAACTTAACATAGGTATACCAATGATAACATTTTTTTATTGCTAACTCTATACCAATATTATAAATATGCACCAATATATAGTTAACTGATGTAAATAACAATGCGTAAATGTGACTTTCTTATTCCTTTAACAACTTTTCCTTACAAACCTTATACATAATTCAGAGGGAAATAAATCATCAATGTATAGAAAGTTCTAAGTTCTATTGATTGTCAAATATGATAAGAAAGTAAACTGTTCATTCGTTATTGGCGTTGTTATTTAAAACTGATATCATAAGATGAGAGTATTATCTCATTTATTATATTTATTAAATAACAGTATTTAAGGGAAGAGTGTATCAGTTTTTGGAAATGGTATGCGTTTTATGCATCAATTTATTTAAGTAACGTGGAATGATTATGAAGTCGAAGGCCTACCTAAAAAAATATTTAAAATTATTATATATTATATATAAATTAGAATAATTTACTTATAGATATGGCACAGTGCACTTCGCATAATATACTGTGATAATCATAGTACCTTCCATAGGCCACTGTTCCTGAGGACTAAGTTTATTTCTTCGATACCCGCTGTATCTTATCTTTCAAAGCGAAACATTGTCATGCAAATGCAACTGCTTGGCAACATAAAAAAGTAATGTAGAAAGTCTCTCTCTGATAAATTATTACGGTAGATAAAGCAATGCATATTATATAACAATAGATACTATTCGTATTTACTTTGTTCTGCCTATTCTGTATTTTTTTTTTGTTGTTGTTGCATTTGTTTAGGGATCCCGTCTTCGCTATTTGATACGGGTGGTGCGATGCCTGCTATATTGGGCAATTGCGTGTACATATTTGACGATAGGAGGCAAGTTAGGGGATATATAACAGCCCATTCTATATAAAGCCGGATATGAAAATAGATAAATTATAAATTATAATCCATACCTATCAAGTGCAATAGCAACGAGATGAAGAATGGAGGCAGTACAGCACAAAACATCTCCCGAGGTCCACATGTCACAGAGTTCAGGTCCCAGCGTCCAGCGCTGCGCGACCTCGTACACGGCTCCCAGCGGCATCACCAGGCATGCCACCAGCAGATCGGCCACCGCCAAGGATAGGATCAGCTGGTTTGCTGCGCTACGCAAATGTCTCTCCAACAATATTGCTGCTATCACGAATACATTACCTGGGGAAAATATGCATTTTATATATACATATAAATAAATAACTTATAAATATGGAACCAACTCGGGGTAAACCCTGTCGATTGTGAATGGAGTTATTATAATCGGATTAGGATGGTGAATTTTCGAGTAACCTAATACTTACTATACGTCTGTATAGAGATATCCCCCTTTATATGTAGCCAATGATATTATCTTAATATTATAAATAAAAAAGGGAATTTCTTTGTTTGTTACCTCTTGGCGTCTTAACGACCTAACTCATCACTATGAAATTCTGTATACAATGGAAACGGAGATAGGCTACTTTTTATCTCGGTCAGTGTACATATACCGGTCACGTGGACAAAATTATGGGTATATGCTATTAAAAAATTACATTAAAAAAATTACTTTGTGTAGCAGTGTCCTTGAGATACCTACAAACATTGTTACGACGCTAATGACTGTTTCATTTTGCAGGTGCGGATATCTTTAAGGTTATTTATTGGTACTATACAAACGGGATACGTACATTTCAGTCTTTTAAACCGACTTCAAAAAGACATCCGCAATTCTGTTGTATTTTTTTCTTATATTTGTTACCTCATAATTCCGTTAGTTATAAAGTGATTAGGAAAATTATCTTTTTACCTGAGAGGATATATTTACAGATTAGTTCCATAGAAATTTTATTAAAATCTGTTCAGAAGATTAGTTTTTAAATCAAAATTGTTTTACGGTAGGTATATGGTATGTACAAAACAAAGGTATAATTTTATACCCGCATACAGTTGTCATCACATTATACCTATATATTAAATACAGTACAACTAGTATTATATTATCTGTAATACTACTCGAAACTCATTACTATATATTTAAGTTGTTGATAGTATTAATAAAACTGAACATTTTCTCAAAGAAATTATTGCAATTATCAGGGATGATTAATGATGATGAAAATATGCGGTCTTTAATTAAAGAAACGAAAACAATAAATAATAAATGTTTGATAGATGTGACTGTTATTGTTCTTAGATACGTACCTACAATGATGAGATTAAATAATCTGTATTACTTGAGTTTATAATTTCTTCTACTAGGTTGTAACTATGCAGTTATCATTGATAAGAGCAAGCTAAGAAATTCTCCCGTCTCTTTCATAAATTGTGTCAATTTTATTTGTAAATGCTGTGCTTTGTTTTGTTTATGTGTGAGAAAAGAAAGATTATTGTTAATATTTTTATTATTCCATTGGTTACATAAGACTCACGCTCACCCCTGTTTTGATGTTTACATAACCCATTATGACCTTATTACATGAAGCTACAGTAGATAGATTTACCTAATCACAAATATAAAAAAGAAAATAATAGAAATCGTAGTTAACTCTTTGTGAATTTGTCAATATACATCAACTGATCTGACTTCATTGTCATCTATCACGCGTCACTGTTGTCCTTCTAGCGTTAATCAATAGCCCAGATGGAACTACCATTAAAAAAATAATCTAGCATACCTAATGTAAAATAGCTTTTAAAATACTGTTCAATAGATCAAAACATTATTTATAAGTAAGTAGATATGACCTTATCATAGATATAGTGTATACGTTACCGTCAGTCTCATCAACATCATGTTTGAAATACGAAGTAACACTCTAAACATATCACGGCTTCGAGATACGATGAGGCACATCTATTTATAAGAATAGATTATTAAATAATCTTACCTACTCTATTATTTTGTTTTTATTGTAACGTTTTGTATTTATATTTTTCTGGTATTAAACTTTACAAATTAATATATGCTATTGCTATTGTGTAAATATATCTTAGATTGTATCTTTATGTCTTTATTATGGGAAATACTTCATTTTCCGGGATGAAATTATCATACAAATGTTTATCTTGTAGATAGGTACATCATGTAAGAGCGAGATCTACTGGGTTTAATTTAGCATTAAAATTTATGTTTGCAGTAATAGCAATTATTTAAGAAATATTATTTTATTTTTTTCATTTCATAAGCTTTTTCATCAAAACTACTTTCTAAAATTAATATTCAACAAAACTGACAGAAAATACTTTCGACTAAAATAGTATTAACAAAAATCGATTTGTAATTATCATAACATAAAATAATCAGGCACGCAAGTAAATAGTTGACAAGTCGTTAGTAATGACAAATATTAGTATGTTTTAAAATAAAACATGATATTTACCAACTACAGTAGCGAGAATAAGCAGGCCCAGAACGACGGCCTTGGCAGCAGCGCGAACCAGCGCGGCAGGCGAATCGAAGGGCGCGGACGCTCCCTCCCAAGTGGAATTCGGCACCACGGTGGAGTTCCAGACGCTGGGATTCCACTCCGTCGCGTTCCATGTGAAGTTGTGCACCGGCAGGCGCATATACAGCGTCTCCCACTCCAGCAACTCATCACGACCGTCCGCGCCCTCCATGCCCCCTCACCGTGTCTCCACGCCAACTACTAAGAAAACTTGCTTGAAACAATTTGCAGACCAATCGTAAATATAATTCTTGGTCGGTGTTCCTACTTCTTGATGAAACTCCATTGTATTGATTCTAAGATATTATTTAAAATGCTTGCACTTAGTTCTGCAATATTTACATGTGAATTTTAACAATAGTAATAATCTGACCTGAAAATTATGTTAAATATACAACCAATATAAATACAGTGTATTAATAAAAAAAAAGACAATGCTGTAAAACTATGTGCAAGTATTTTAAAATCATATCATAATCGATACAATCGTGTTTACAAATAGGTACAATTTAAAATAATTGTTTCTATCGCAATGCCATATAGCAGCATTGCAATACCGCTATATATAGAGTGCCGAGTTCAATAAAAACAGAGTAAAAGAAAAAAAACTCTGATGTAATTCAATAAATGGATAGAAAATATCTTATTATCAAGTAACATTCTGTAAATGAATATTATGATAAAGCAGCCTTGACAAATAAAATAAGAATTAAGTGCTGCAAGTGTCAAAGGAAATTTTGGAGATATCTATTTCGATGGGTTTATTTCCTTCTTTAGAAATGAAAGCACGATAATGCATAGCTACCATGATGTTTTATCATGTAGGTATATTATATAAGCATTAATATTTATTGTTGTTTGAAAATACTGAGAATGAAAACAAAATTTGAACTCACTGATATATTGGTTGAAATAAAAATGAATATTCATTTTATTAATTTTATAAGGCAATTCGTACGCGCTTCACAACCTGCACTGAACTACGCAAAAATTCTATAAAAATCGAAATACGAAACCGCATTCCAATTCACTTTGATTTTTCGCTCGGGACTTAGTTACGGAAAACGAATTGGAAAGTTCAAGAGTTTACTGCTTTTTGGGGAAATAATAAAAAAAATATATACGAATATTTTCACTAACTTACTCATGATAGTTTTTTCGCAAATAGTTTATTCAGGATTTATTATAAGAAGGGTATCAAAAAGATTCTTTTACTTAGTTTACAAAGCTTAGGTATTTGTTTGCCCATCTGCCCCAACAATCATCCCTTATTTAAGTAATAATAAATAAATACCACTGGATATATTACTTAGCGCCGTTTAGTCCTAAACTAAGCAGTTATGGTACTTAAATGCATTTTTTTCATAAATTTAATACATACATATTATATGTATACATATAACTTAAACATCATTTAAAAGAGGGGAAGGGATTATTAGTAATGGGGAGGTTAGTTTCAGTGTTATCGATATACCCTATCAGGTCGACCTCCACGCGATTCCCTCTGGAAACTATCGTGATTAATTTATCGTTGAATTCATCACGATGGGCTAACTGACTTGCCTTTTCATACTCACTGATCATCACTCACTGGTGCCCCGCCAGTGTATACCTATAGTACGGGCAGGCTTACTATTTAATTATCATCCTTTAAAAAAAACATCTTTTAAACATAATTTTCAAGATAAAAACTAAAACGTAGTATTATTATTACTACCAAACCTATTATTTTGGTACCGTATCTAATTCTATACTCACTATTGGTGTTGTATTTTCGGAAGAAGTAGTTTACAGCTCGCTCCGCCATTTCTACTTTATATTATTGCTTACGTTACAATCTGAAAAGAAAGCGCATTGTCAATAATTATGTTTGTGTAAAAAGTAAGTATAAAAGTAGTAGATACATAGTATAGTTGATAATAATGTACTCTGTTTCAATAGAAATTAATGAATAGCTAAACAATTTTTATTAAAGTAATCACAAAAATTTTCTAAATAAAATTAGTAACAAATATAAACATCGATATTAATATAACATCAATAGATTGTGTTATAGTCGAATTAATTATTCGTTTGTTTACATTTTTATTAAATTCTGTTGAAACGTACTGTAGTAATATGTTTTTATATTATTATAATGTAAGTATTAAAATTTATGTCATTTTATTTAAAAAGATGTATGATAATATATTGCGATGTCATATATCTACTTGTTTCGCAATAGCTTCCATATTCATGACGCATTCATTCTTGTTAGGGCTAAATTATATGCCTAACAAGCTCCCTCGTTATTATCCCACCCTTACTATATTACATTTTTGTTAAGATGATTGCTAAAATTTCTGATGCAATTTTCATTTGATAAAGTAGGAATAAATTTTTTTAGATAAAACCAGTCACGTTTACATTCATTAAAAAAGAGGCCTTGGTTTCCAAGAATGGGACCGATTCTGAAACGCCATTTCTAAACCTATCTTTTAACTTAATGTTTTAATTTAACAATATCGCGAAACTACTGTTTTATGCGCCATCATAAACTAAAATTATAAAAAGTTGAATTTATATATATTAGAAAATTGTTTATATTCGTCCTAAAATACAGATTTCACGGTGATATTAAATTAAAATTTTAATTTTATAGATAGGTTTATACAAATAGTGCTTCAGAATCGATCCATTATCTTTACCAGAAACATCACAGTGTGATTTACTTGTTGCCATTTTCTATCAAGTGAACCGTCGGCTTGTTTGCTATTTCAAGTTATATAATCGTATATTTTATAATCTTTTAAGACAACACCAAGGTACATAGAATTGTGAGTGACTATAGGTACAGGTTCTAAAAATGTCGATATGCATTAAATGTCTTGTAGTACAACATCGACTCGTCATTATGTAGATACATATTTTATGAAACAGCGGTTACTACTAATGTTACTCTCTGGTAATCTGTCTACAACATATGTATACTACTTGTATTAAATGTATATATATATATATATATATATATATATATATATATATCCCCTGAAGCGCGTTGCAAAGCGAAAAAAGCTACGTGGTGATGTATAGTCTGCACGGTATTTATATAAACCGAAGAAAATGGAAGGAGAGGGAGGAAGTATTATGTGACATATTATTAGTCGGAACGTGACTTTTGTGTCCAATTCCGGATTGTAATTATCGCAATAGCCTAAAAGAATATGAAGTTAACACAAAAACTTGGACCGTCCACAACCCAGTGCTAAGTATTGAAACAAGTTCGATACTCTTTAAATCGAAACAAATTTAATATACTTGACTTTACTTTTCAGAAAACACTACGTCTATCCAGACGGAGTCGAACCCGGCATTAAATACACATTCTTATTATTATCATATATCTATAAAATTATTACCGATTATCTATATAAAAGTTGGTCTAGATATTTGCCAGTCTTCTTGGATCTTCAGATGTTTTACTAGTTAGCATTATATATATATATATATATATATATATATATATATATATATATATATATATATATTCATAGATGTAGGTACTTAGGTAAGGTGAAATAACACTAGTATTTTAATGCAAGTATAGATCCACACAATGAAAGACCTTTTATATTGACACGTATATACCGATTTCAGCGACTTTTGGCTTTCCTTAATTCAACGTTTACTCAATTTTCTCTCCCTCTTTAAATATTCACGTCACGAAACTCTATTGACCTTTGGGTCACTCTAATTCGATGTCTGATTTTTAACACTCTAGTTAGGACAACAACTTTGGAATGTATAAACTTACATACATACATACATACTATATGTCATATAGGTATGCTCATGTCATATATATCATCACATAATATCTACCTAATTATTGTTTGGTTACATATCTAGAGGTTGAACTATGGGCGAATGTATAATTTGCTATTTGTGGTTTATACGCCTTGTTCTATAGTTGTATTTTATGGGTGGGAGCACCTAGATACCAGCTTGAACTCTGCGACTCAGTGCAATGACGAGCTATAAGAATTGTCGATGATTTCAGGTTTACAAGTGGTAGCGAACCTTTAAATCTTAGGAGAGGTTTGGCTTCTATTGCTTGTAAATGGACTATGCTCAGTGGAACTGCTCAATATGATGCCCATGGCCACTTCTACTATCCTACAGCTCGCCACTGACGGGGAGTTCACTCCATATCATAGAGCCTGGATGATCACGTACAGAGTAATTTCAGAGATGTTTCCTCTTACGAACGCTTAAGTCATGGAATGAGCTCCCTGTCACTAGTTTTCATGTTTAAACAACATTATATTTTACTAGCGCTAACTATTTTGGCTTGTTACAAATAAATTGAATACTAATAAATAAGAATATTATTATTTAGTTTTAAATCCATCACCGCTGTCGATGCCAATGATAATAGTCGTTTCTATCAGTAATTATTGATAATGGTACCATTTAATTTCCTGTATAACTCTGAAAACTATATAAAGTATTAATAAATTCCAACTGCAAATGAATACATTTATAATGCAAAGGCAATGGTTCAATTTAATGGACGTATACAATTTTGTACTTTTGCAGTAAGTATTAGTGATTGATTATTCAATTTGTATTAATACTAACTATATAATGTTTGTATTATAGATGAGTTTTTATATATTCGAAATTTTATTTTAATCGATGTTATGTTAAATAAATATAAAATAATTGACGCGAAAATCTACGTATAAATTTGTCTACATAAATTACAATTTAATCTTCATACTGTGTAGCATTTTACACTATTATTTACACTGTACATAAAGCTTAAGATACATTAGGAAAGATTTGTCTCGAATTTATTGCGATGGTGGAGGCTGGTATTGATTTTTGAGGCCAGAACACTCAACATCGGTTTCTAAATTGTACCTTTAATTCATAGCTCTTATCGTGACAATTAACAACGTCTTTTAGTTGAATTTTATTAAAACAAAAGGTATTATTAATGTATTTTGTTCTGGTATTTTTATAAGTAAAATAGGTAGATATACTATGGCAACTAGAGCTTTCATTTTCTTTTGGTTACGGTACAACCCCCTTAGAAGCACCCTCCAGCGCCCGCTGGGAGGGTAGTATAGCTCCTGTTGGAAATCCAAGATCTACGTACTCCATAAATCATCACGCCATTGCTCTTATTGAATTATTTGCAGTAAGGTATTGCAATAGAAAAAAACAGTTTGTATAATTTTCTCGTCGTCAGCCGTTATTTTGTGTTTTTACCTTCGCCCACGACTCCTTTATCCTTTATTACTTTTTTTACTGTCACTATACATATCAGAACCATACGAGAAATTTCAGTAAGGTTAGGTTATGTTTATGAAGATATAGTTGATTAGAAGGAATTCCATTATTGTTTTATGGTCTTATATTATTTAAAGTTGCTCCTTTATCTAATATTGACAATGGAAAATTTCCTCTCTATTAACTAAAATACGTACAAGTGAAAGTTGTCCACGTTTTTTCTTTAGGCTAATCAATATGAATGTTTCAAACGTCAATAACGTAGCTGTTTATGTATCAGCGAGATACAAGGCGATAGCACTTCGTTTTGTAGTCAGGTATTTAAGCTGTCAGCAAAATGATAGAAAATCTTTTAGAATATTTTATATGGGAAGATACTAAAAATCTAAATCTCTTAAGAAATTTTGTATTTATGAATATTATAAAAGAATCCAATTACATTTGTATGCATGCAATAGTATGTATGGAAAAAGAACTGTGTACTAAAGACTTCTACACATAAATCTCTAGTTTTATTCACACTTATAACACATATGTACCACGTATTCTAACTAACATACGAGTAGCAGTAATTTTTTCTCATCTTTACAACGACATATTTTTTAAATTGCTAGTTCGTTTATTTAGTATGTTCTCACATTGAAATATTAGTTACTGATTTGCAAATAATAAAATAATAATTAACAATATTAAAAGTATATTTTTTTCTAAGAACCTTTATACAAATAAGTGTTTATATAATACAAATTGAAGTTCATTATTCACGTTGAATATTAAACCGTGGTTGTGTATATTCAAAAATTCCCTTCCTGCGCTATAATGCACTGCTCAATTTCAAAATGCTTTTGGAAGGAAAACACCGCACCTGAGCACATTGTTTCTCAGCTCGGCCTTCATCTGCAATTACGTAGCAACTTTTGGCTACTGTCAGACGGCTAATTGAAGAAACATCAGCTGTCGTGATGAGAGACTAGATGACATTTATCAACACTATTCAAATGTTGGTCAAATTTATTTCGTCGAATTATTCATATTATATATAGCAGAACAGAAATACGCCAGTGATGATTTGTGCATAATTCGTACAATATTTCACGGCGAATACTGCTTATAACTTTATGACAGGTGACGCAACATGGATTTATTTACAGATTCAGAGATGCCAATAATATTGTGATAGAAAATAAACTAAATTGATACAGACAAGAAGCGTAGGCAAAAATGATTGCGTTTTTTTGTGGTAGGTTCTGTTTGTATAATACCACTTAAAAAGTGGTGAATTTACAGAGTTTACCACTTACTTTGTTTAGTTAATTTTTAACTGTTGCATTGTTTACATAAATTTTAAATATACTATCGGGTGTTAACGCGATAAAAAATTTTTGAAGGTAAATAGTAGACCTAGTAACTACATACTTCTTTATATGCAAAAATTTTTCTTTGCGTTAAATCCCGGTAGTGTATATAAGAATACTATTTATTTGCTGAATATTCTAGAAAATGTAAGAACGACGACCAATAAATATCATTTTCTTTTATCACAAAAACGTTCATCTATATA